AAAAAAAAAAAAAAGGGTTTGGCCGAGTCGACCCATAAAGCCATTTGAAATCAAAATAATAAAAAAAAAAAAAATACTTAGTCGAGCTGAGCCATAAAGCTATTTGGAAAAAAAAAAAAACGTTTTAGCATAGTCAACCCATATAGCCAATGAGCTCAACTTAAACGGCTCTTTTATTTAATGTATAGATATAAATATATGATAGGCAAAAAAAAGAAACACAGCTTAGTTGAGCCGAGCCATATAACCATTCGGCTTGGCTACTTAACTATAGATATAGATATAGGATAGGGGGCAAAAAAAAAAAAAAAAACCGACGACTTAGAGGAGCTGAGCCATATAACAATTCGGCTCGACGGGCTAGCTATAGATATAGAATATGGTATAGGATATTTTGAAAAAAAAACACATACACACACCCGGCTTAGCCGAGCCGAATGGCCATTTGGCTCAGCGGCGGCTTAGCTACAGTAACCCCAAACTGGCTCTTTTAATATAGGTGGTAAGAGTAGGAGAAAAGCGACAAGAATGTACAATTTATCATGATTTTGCAATATGACCTACAAGTATCTAGTATACCCAAAACAAATCCCCCAACTTTACTTTTTGTGCACCCTAGAAAGATTAATATGTAGCATATATTGAAGCATCTTTTGTGTGTACAATACAATAGAATTGTCAGTCGATTACATGAACCCTTTTTCACTACTTTGTTCGGTTAATTGTTAGATCTATCTCTATACGTACAATACCAGAATGCAGAACCTACAACTATTATAACATGTAAAATGAGAAATACTTTTCTCAATCATAGACACGTTTCTATACGTATCACAAAGAACCCTTGTAAAAAATGTGAAATAAATTTATAACCCAAAAAGTGAATTAGACAGATCCAGTGTTGTTTATATTCTCCAGGGAAACAACAGCACCAGACATAGTATCATCGGAGACAGGAGAATGTGACGTTAGAATGTATAACACCCATAGATGAAGGCATACAAGGTAGACGACAGACCAAATCCTAGCAGTCGAGTTCCTTCTTAGAAAGACGACACCGGAAGAAAAGATCGAATCCAACTGTCGAATCAATGATCCCAAATGTAGCTGGCCGGATCGAATTTTCTGTTTAAATAAAGGCCTGAACTTCGAATTATAGGGTTCCCATACACCGGATTCTAGATCATCTCTTGAAGAGGCACTGGGAAAATCAGCTAATTCCATAATTGACTTGTTCTCATCCAGTAACCTTGAAACTGCCTAAGACATTTAATCCAAACATCCAGAAAAATAAAACGTTGGACACTTAAGTGACAGTTCAGAGTAGTATGTGGCATCATTTCATTGCTTCGAATGCTAATACAGAAACTTACCTCGATTCTGAATAGCAGCATTGCCTTTTCTGAGGATAGTGCCTCAACCTGATAAAAGAACAAGAGTTGTTTGTTCAACCAATAAATTCAGTTGTTAAATTCTATTTAATGTACGACAGCAAAATTCATATTCAATGTTTTACTCTCTTAGAGCATGCTTGGCTAAGCATAAAAGATATGTGCAAGTAAATAAGTATTTCTTTTATTGATCATCATTGGGACTTACTTCTTGTGACACTAACGTAAGAGTTATTTTCAACTCTTTTTTCACTTAATAGTAAGGAAAAGTAACTTATCCAAACATGTTTACAAATAAAAAGTTAATTTTTACTTATTTTGAGCATCGCCATATATGCTCTCAATCCCTTTTATTTTCAGCTGGAAGTTGCAACACAAAAATGACTTCTTCCATAAATGTATGAGATCGTAATGTGCCGTAATGTGCCAAGAATTAACTTCCTAAATAGTACAATCAACGGCAACAAAAGTTTCATAATTAAAGTATGTTTGGCAAATAAGCACACGGCTTGTAACCATGGGCCCCCCAAAATTTTGTGAGTTGAAATAAGCCAAATAAGTAAGGTTCTTATTTTCTATGGCATCCACTCCCCGTACATTTTTAACTTCCAATTGTGTGGGACTATGGTTTATAAGCCATGGGCTTAATTTGCCAAACATTTAGAAAACAAACCTGTGCTTGCTTCTGAATCAAATGGTCAGTGAACTGATCAAGCCTTTGCTTGAGCTGAATTTCCACTTCAGTTGGATTCTCGATCTCCCTTTGGGTTGTTTTAATGTTCATTTCCAGTGTCTTTGCCTGCATAAGTCAAGAAAATTAGTTTCCAATAGCTGAACATTAAATAAATTGCAGAAAAGTATTGTTCGTTTAGTCATGGTAACTGGGAAGCAAGGGAAAGGAAACGATGAGTGGGCAGCCGCAAGAGAAATGGTTGCAACAAATACTTCATCAATACACTGAAAATCCTTCACGTGAGAATATGAGCCAATTATGTGAAATCAATTTAGTATGATTTAGTTGAATTTGACACGTGAAATCCCTTAGTTACTTTGCCACATGACATCATATTGGTATAGTTTGGTAGTCTGGGTTGTGGACTGGACAATACACAACAAGATTGAGATAGACACATAAGTTAAAAGATATTGCATATTGTCTAGAGCAATATTGTCCAATACTGCAATTTCATATACGGAGTTGTGGCTTTAATGTCCATATGGATTTATTAGGTCATAAACAGCCTTCTCTAAAGGTAGGAATACTATACCCTTCTCATCTACAAACATAAATCATGGATTTATTCATCCATGTTACATAGATTACCAAACTGAATGGTTAAATACAGTTTCAAGATTGGACAAGTCTTTATTAAAAGGATATACACAAAATATATCCACCTGATAAACTATAGAAACTAGGATAATCCTTATGTTCAAAATATAAGCCACATTAAGGAGCATGTTCTATTTAATTTTTTGTAATACACTGAACAAGATATGACAGTTTTTCGAATGTAGTAGCATAAAATTTTAGCACAGCATCAAATATACCATTACAGTTTAATAGAAAAGGAAGTATGTCACCTTTTCTTGCAAGCGTTCCACTTTATCAGTTACAAAGGAATACTCAGCCTCAAGCATCTTCAGTTCAAATTCGACACCTTTTGAAGCTACCAGCTACAAGCCATTTTCATGGAAATTTAATTGAGAAGATGCAAGAAATATTCTGACTAAATGCATAAGAAGCAACAGATGCTCACATTGTCCCCGTTTAGGCACGTAACAGATATTTTCCTTCTCAATTCTGCCAGAGAAAACAATATATCTTAGTTATTAAGCTCTATTTAACAATAAAAATTTTCTAATTCCTCCCAGAAAGTTAAATACGTCAAACATAGATGAAAAAGCTCAAAGATATTATTGGGTTTCCCATTGATGACAATGTTTTTTAACAGCAAAACAAATTGAACACTAAAATTGATGCCATTGTGTACTCGTTTACATGATAAGGATAATTAACCTGAGTATTCCGCAAATGCATATCTACTATTCAAATATAATATCCCTGAAGTTTAATACTGACCTGAAGTTCAATATTAAACTTCAGGGATGTCCAAAAAAACACTAAAATGTAAAATCAATAGAAACAAAAATGGAAGGACAACAGCTCAGTGCAGGAAATTTGGAAAAAGAAAATCAAATGGTCTCTGCCCCCAAGAAGCAAGATTTGATATGCAATTCTTCATGTTATTTAGAGTGACAAGCCTCTAGGTTAACATCATGAGCTACATTCAGACAGGTCATTCTGGCGCGGATACAAAGTACACATACTGCAAAAACTTAAAAGAGAGGCATCAAAACTAAAGTTACTCTCCATCTAATTAAGATACAGAAAGCACACCTTCATGAGTCCCTTCTTTCAACTGAATCTTTTGACGAAGTTCAGCGATACGATCAACCTGGTCCGTCCATGCACACAATCATGAGTCAATCTATTTGCTATCATGCTATCATATAGAAGTCATTGTACAATTTCAATTCAAGCATTTCACAAGGTCGATTTTGAAGCCTAATTGAACATCTATCACTAACTTCCTAATGTGCTGATACTTTCTCGTTTATTGATACTCAACTACTGAATAAAAACTTAAAACATGCATGGAGAAAGAAACATAGTTCAAAGAGATCCAGGTCCTCCTTCAGTTTGCTAACTTTACAAATAACCAAGGAAATTATGACCACCACACTGGTGCTGCACCTCCTGTACATGCAATAGATGATATCATGACAGTATGTCAAATTAAATTTTCCCAAGACAACCCCCTCTCCTTCCACTTTTGCACTGAAAACATGAATAAGCACAACAATATATAAACATATTGAGTTACAATTCTGCCTGCCAACTACTAACAGCAATAAGTTGGCTTTTGCAACATAATATGTCTTGAGTTTTCTCAAGGTATTCATGGATCATTTAACATTCACTGGAAAAGCAAAAATAAAAAATAAAATAAGTACAATAAATCAAAAAAGGGAGAGAGGGCAAAGGAAAAAGGCAACTAAAGAGGTTTTCAAGTACCTCTATTTCAAGGTTTTTCTGCGCAGCAGCGAGAGACCTTGCAAGGTCGGCATTTGCAGTCTGCATAGTGTAAAAGGCAATGAATAAACATACTGAGAATGATAACAATAACAAGAAGAAAAAGAATTAAAGGATAATAATTAAAATCTGATAAGATATCAATGGTTGAGCTAAAGCTTAAATCTATTTTAATGAAATTATAACACCACCTCAAGTTTTGACAGTCTCACGAGTGCTTCCATTCGAGTATTGTTATGTTTCTGCTTCTCTAAATCAGCAGCTTCCATAATCTCCATCATTGATGTCTGCAATTCTGAAGCCTGGAAAAATCGCCATAAGTATTTACAGTGGAGTTGGTCTTACAAAGGCAAAGCAACTAAATGCAAAATAACAACAACAACGAAGGAAGTAAATCAATTCAACCAACAGAAGCATCAACAGGAAAGATGGACGACAATAGACAGAGTTTAAAACTTATAAACAAAAAAGAGTAAAAAAGTCGCAAACAAGTAGCTTTTGGTTGATCATAGAATATAACAACTGATAAGCATGTTTAAATTGAAGAACAATTCCTATGATTAGTATTATAAGGAAAATGATGAAGTCAGATGACTTTTACCTGTGATTAAGCATTTAATATAACATCACTAAGTCATAAACAATTTTGGTGAGACTAACGATTGTAGCACAGTCCATAATACTGGTGATAAAAATGGAACATGTGAAAAGAGTGGAGAAATTAAGCTCGTTACTCATGGAAAATAATTAAGACCCAAACGTCTTCAAATTATAAAGAGAGACCATCCTGTACTTCTGTATCACATAATATTAAGAGTACCAGCTTAGTTCACTTGCTATTGCACAAATATTTTGCATCTTATCTCTAAATATGCACTTCTATCAGTAACAAATGAATATGTCCTTGTTTGGTTTTATGTTGATACAATATTGTGACAATTTCCATAGCTAAAGCCAGAAAATAGGGAGACATGGTTTTAGAGTAACTTTATCAATCACTGTAATAATTGTTCAATAATAGTTCATAAAAAATAAGGTTGAATAGACCTGAAATACTTACCTCTTGTACTTGCTGTTTGGCCCGCTCTTCAAGTATTTTCTCTAAACTCTGTTTCTCCCCCTCCAATTTAGCAACCAGATTCTCACGATCTTTGATAGCCTCAACTGCTTTGGCAGCTGCTCTTTCTGCCAGAATCTGCTGCCTTCTCTTTATCCTTTCTGCCCTCTCTCGTTCTCTCTCTGAATCTGAAGATGAAGTTGAATCTGTCTCAGAATCAGACTCTTCGTCCCTTGGGGAAGAAGAACCTTTCTTCATAGAACTTGAACTTCTGGAACCCACTTTCGATTTATTATTCTTTAACACTCCACTCTTAAACCTCTCGCCGTCCTTCACTTGAAACTTCATATTCAATTTCCTATCAAGAGAAGCTGGCACCATCTCCATGAGATGATCGTCATTTGTCAAACCATCTGTAGAACATAGCTTCTCTCCATCTCCATTGCCATTCACCTCCTCATTTTTTCCTACATCTGCCTCATACTTGTTATCAGGCACAAGTGCATCACTCATGTCCTTTCGATCTGATTTACCTCCATCGCTCTGCAATTTGGATATCGTAGCTTTTTGCATCACTCCTCCCACGTCACTTGCCCTCCCACTATCCGAACTACCACCACCATTTGCGTTACTCTCCAACTCAACATTAGATTTTCTCGAACCATTCAGAACACCATTATTCTGTCCATTCTCAGTCCTTTTCCCCTCTAATACCTTCGAACCCAATCTCCCTTGTTTCATACCATCTTTCTTCAAACCCCTAATCCCCAACGCTCCAATGCTACTCTGATTCCCACTCACACCCCCGGATGCCACATTTTTATTTGGCACGCTCAATAATTCTGTCCAATCACTATCAGTAAGTCCACTCCTCGAGTTTGACTTCGAGTTCAAATTCACTGATACCCCAACATCATCATCCCGTTTAATATTACTATCACTGCGACTAATTACCCTTAAATTATTTTTCTCACTGACATTTTCTGGCACCTTCTTTTTGAGCTGCTCCTTAATCAATGACCTAGTTTCCCCCATACTTGGCGAGGTTTCAAGACCTAATTGTTCATCAGATCGTGGCTTATCATTCTTACCCAGTGATTCTGCAGCTTGCTTATCGATCTGAATCATCCAATAAAAAATTTATAAAGTTCACATAAAGAATCCAAATTTAGTGAATAATCGTCGCCAATGCAGGAAACCAGAATTAAATTACTACAAACAAAACCTGAATTCAAGAAAAAAAACAAAAACAAAAATTATTCTAGAAAGAGAAGATTATTGGTGAATTACCTGATGGAGGAGAGTTTCAGCGGCTTTGAGCTTGGAAGAGATCCAGTGAGCCATGGATGACGGAACCGTCGGACTTTCGGAATTTTATTTCGTAACGTTGGATCCAATCGCTAAAATGGCTTCTTTGTACAAAATATAATGAATTTCTTTATTTTTACATATTATTTTTAATTTCTCTTTTACACAAATTTTACAGATATTATAATATTAGGATTTCAATCATGATATACAAATGGACTCAAAAATAGAAAGACACGTGTCAACACATGATTTGACAGTTTGAAAAAAAACACCCAAGCAGGTGCTGCCAAGTCAGTATGTCCATCATTTCTCTGTCTTTGAACATGTTCAATCATCATTATTCTTAGGATTTTCCCCTATCGGCACCAGTGGAGCACCCGTGCTTTTTTTGTTGATTTTGCCAACAATCAATGAGAAATGGTCAAGTATCTATTTGTAAGAATTATGTTAAACATTTTTTGTACGTATAATAGCATCCCTCATAATATTATTATTTTTGTTGAGATAAAAGCATGTATGGGATGTTCAATATACAAGATAGAAATTTAATTGATGTGTTTTCCAAAACTTAATTGATGTAGGAGTGAAATAACGAGTTTGGTCGATATTTCGTTTTTTAAAATCCACTAAATTAGAAAATTTATGCATTGTAAGTCTGTTCGATCACCAGAAATTAATGACAATTGCGTCAAAGTTAAATTTTGTTATACAAGGCAAAAAATATGATAAAAGAGTTTTTTTTTAGTAATTTTCAAATTTAATTTCCATGATTTGAATGAACTAAAATTTGTTGTTAAAGGATTTGGTTACGTAGAAACTAGAAAGTCATAGTTTTGGATTTGTAGGTAAGGTTCATGGAAAAAGTCCATTTGGAATTGTATCTCGTAATAACCGATGCATAAGTAATCGTCTAGACTTAAGAATTCAATTGATTGCAATATATTTTTGGAAAGATTCAAATGGACGAATAAAAATTAGTTCCAATAGGTATTTCAAGTTATGACAAGTCTACGATGAGAATATTATCAAGTTTGTATATATTCTAAGCTAGATGAATTATCTAAAAAGCACATTTCCAAGCAGATGTGAAATGGCACATTGATTTATTGGTAGTTAAGTTATAATGGGTTTCAAGAATTAAATAAAATTAGTTGAATTAATATACAATGTCATTGTCGCATAACATGCTAAGCAACGATACTTATGGCCTATGATAGGTCATTATTTTCCATGAAAAATGGAAAACAAATTCCAATTTCTACTTTTGCCTTGTTTGATACACTTTTTTTTTTTCCATAGAATTCTTTTTCTTGGTTTGCCTTACGCGGTCATCTTTTCCTTGGCTTTGTGGAAAACCAATTTCCACCAATTTGGCGAAAATTGATTTTCCAGCTTTTTTTTTTCTTTTTTTTTTTTTTTTTTTGGCAATTGGAAAAAATTCTAGATACAATGGTAAAAAAATTTATCACTTTTATTGATAATTTTCATACAAAACAAAGTCAAACGAATGGAATTTGGTATGGTAATTTTTTATTTTATTTTTAATTTATTTTGACAATTGGAACAAATTTTAGACCCAATGATAAAAAAATTATCACTTTAATGGACAATTTTCATGAAAAACGAAGCCAAACGGACACTAAACTTTCAACATTATCCAGGTGAAAATTATACCAATTAAATACAATTAATTACAATTCCTAGTAAAACAAATTATAGGCAATTCAATTCCCTATAATTCATTTTCTTTTCTCCAAAATTCCACATTTGCAATCAAATGGACTCTTAATAGAAATTGGTGTAAGAAGTTGGAGGGAGAGGGAGTCTAGAAGAGAAAAAATGGGGTTACTACTTGCTACGTTTATGATAGGTAGGGGGAGCGGAAGATGGGTAACTGCTCAAAAACTTACTTTCCGTGTGTTTGGGTACGATAAAGATTTTCATACCAAAAAAGGTATAAGGTCTTACTAGATCTCTACCATTACTTTCTATTTAGTTTGATTTAAAGTTCCCTCGCTCCATATATGGCTATTGATGACAAATAGGCCGTCCATAGTCAACACACACCATGTTGACGTTTAGCAGAGGCAAAACCAAAGAAACTAGACTTGGAAACTTGTCAATCTTCCCTCCTGCACTCATATTTAACAAATCTTGATTTTTAAATTTTCCATCCGAGTGGGGTTCGAGAAGGCCCTCAGAAATTTGTCCACAATCCAAAACCAACAATTTCTTGTATTAAGGCCCCGTTTGGTTCACATTATTTTTCTTATTTTTATTCTTCTACTCATTTTCAACCACACATTTTTCAATAAAATAATATTTTCCATCACATCAATAACTTTTCCTTCTTTTTCAACCACATATTTCCCATCACATTTACAGTAAAAATGCATTCTTACCTTCAAAATGTGCATTAAAAATTCATTGCAATCAATCACAAATCGCCTCACAAAGACAAATTCTACGAATGATGAGACTTGAAAGTAGCAATATTCCACTGCTATTCAAATAAATGACAATTTATTTTTCTTGAAACCTTTTGGTGTTAGTCTTTTACTAAGAAAAAAATGTTATCATATTGCCTAGTTGGCAATTAAGATATTCCAAGAAAGGGTATACTATTTTTAATCGGACTAGGAATATCACGTCAAGTGAAAATGTCATGTAAACTAAGTAAATCACCCTCGTGGGATATTTCTTCTTGGATACATCCAATTTAAATAAATTAAGTTTATCGTTTCTCAATTTGTTTAAGATTATAGATGAGACAGTTCAATATAGCAAATAAACATAAAGAATATGTTATAAAAATTATTATTATTTTTTAATAAAATGAGTTTTTGCACGATGTAATTCTATGCTACAAGATTGAATAAGATTTAAAACATCTTGTGCTGCTAGTCTGTGCCTATATTGATATCACAAAAATCTTGACCGAACGTTATTTAGGTGTTTAAATATACAATTACGAAAGCATATATTTGCAACAAATGAGGAAATTGTTAAGAAATCAGAGAATGCGTCAAGCTGTGTGAATCATTAAGGGATATGCATCGGATTATGGGATGATATTGTCACAGGTACTTGTCCATGTTTAGTCATCATCCGACACCAGTATTGATTTTGACTTTTACTACTGTACGCCTTGATATCTAGTTTCAGTTGTAATCGAATGCGTTTTAGACATTTTAATAATCTCCAACTCGATGGCTACTTCTTTCATTAATAGCCCATTCTTCCCGTTCACATTTAAGCACCTTGGCGCAAGTTTTGGCACCGTAATCAGCTCCTCTCTTACCCTGCTCTAAAACTTGGATGTCAAGAATTGTTGCAAGATTTTGTACTTCCATACATAATAAAAATATTGTTGCTAAACTTCAAGAGATATATTTTGCAAACGATGAGACTCAAAAAGTGGTCAACAATCCACCTCTCTTCAAATAGACGACACTCCAATTTTTCTTCAACGACCTTGCGGTGTTTTGTCCTTTTTAGGAAATACTAGTGAAGAAAACGTGCGTTGCACGTTAGTTGATTGTTGTTGACAAAATAGAAATGATTTTAATTTGGAATTGATGTTGGTTGATGGTTTCGAAGCATGAAAGATTTTTTTTTTCAGAAAGAACAATCAACTTCTCCTTTGATACATAACAACACATAACTGTAATTAACATGCAAGTAGCATTGTGCAATGAAGAAGATTTTAGTTATTTGACTTGGCTATAAGTTTGACATAGATTATTCCAATATTTGGAAGGATAAATTATATACATGTCCACATGGGTTTAGTTTGAAAGTATTCCTTTTCACGAAAATCTCAAAACTAATTATTGACATTATCAAAAGCATTCTGCAGCATCATTTCAACTTCAGCTGTTACACTAAGAATGAAAACAGCAACTGGCAGAACAAGTAATATGTAGGAAAATTGCTATAGAAATTAGGTATAGATATGCTAAATGAATTTGAACTTATAAGACAATGAGTAGTTATTGCTTTCAACATTTGAGGAAATGCAATAGATATATAGAGGTAGTTCAAAAGTGAACTTGGTAAAATAATTATTGCAATTATCAGATTTGAAAAAAAAAAATACAGGTGAAAATATGAGGCAAAATAATACATCATATTTGCAAAGTCATCCCTTCTCCAGCTTTAAAGAAAACACAACAAAATTTACTATCCATGAATAACAATATCCAAAAGATAAGGTTACATCATGTTGTCAGCATTACCTTGAGAAGTTTTGTAAGCATAAAACATAATACACCATAGGATGAATCCAATAACATGAAGAAGCCACAACCAATATAGAAATTGACTACATTCAAGAAAGTCATATTTTCCATAAATTGCCTGGAAGAAGCACGAAATCATGAAATGTAAAAAAAAAAAAAAAAACCTTATCTCATATTAGCAATTGATGGAGTACTACCACTGCTAAAAATTTAATTGTAAATTGGGAGTTTTTTCCATCAAATCTAAGTTTGAATATTCATGTTAGGATGAAAGAGGACGTAGAAAGTATTGATTGCTGCAAATGTCTACGACCATCTTTCGTCTGTATATAGCCATTTTGCCCGAAGAAACTGATTCAATAAGATATCCAAAAAATGAAGCATTCTATATATTTCAACAAAAAACTCCACAGTTTGGCCTATGGAAGAAGTGAAAATTTTTCGTTAGAATAAATTAGCTATAGAGATAAATATGAAATTAAAGTGAGATGAAAAAGAAGTAAATAATATTTACCCATTATTTGTACAAGGCAGGTAGGGTATAATCTCTACTTCCATCTGTTTGTTTCGATGTTTCTTTATAACTGGACTGACGGAAACTTCTAACAACAGTAATAAATGGACCATATTTAATGTTGCGGTTACATGATCTATGACCTCTTGTGTGGTATGAACACTATGACTACAATCATATATCTGGAATTTCCATTCTCGAAAATCCACACGGAAAAGATACCAATTGTTACCTGGATAGCAGCATGGAATTAATAAGTAATTACATGCTAACCATGG